TTTCCCTGGAATTTGCGCCTAGGGCACCTATTTTGCTGTCTACTTATTGGAAATAATCATTATTTCTATTAGATATCTTGACGATTGCCATTGAGTAAGCGGGACTCGAGTTCATCCTCCTTGCACAAACAACTTTTCAACGAATGGTTTTGCTGAATCTTGCTAATCATGCACTTAACACTGCATTTGTAGACTACTTACTAGCACTTCATCCGGATGAGGGTGGGATGGCACTATTGAGAGCCGCTGGTGCAAATGCCGTGCACTCTGTTCGACAGCTGCTTCAGAAGGCTGTACGTAACAATATTCACCCATTCTCTTTTGATTACTTGATCGTTGCTTTAAATATCACCCCTCAAGCTTTAAAGCCAGATTATGGAGCCTTTAGTGCCCATAAAGCACAAAATTAACTTTAGGAGAATGCCATAGTTATTACTTTACTAGTAGTTCTTTTATTTAGACAAACCCAAATATGTACGAAATATATCGAAAAACAACTCTGCTCATAGTAGCCGCCGAATTCGGTTGCTATGAGGTAATGAATGACCTTCTGGAACACAAAGCATCAATGAAGCAACACTCCCCTTCATTGTGCAGCTGTTGGAGGACATTTAAACAGCGTAAAGCTTCTTCTGCAACACCACAGTCCCTTGGAAGTCGTAACTCACAGACAGTGCACCATACTAACGCGGGCCTCTATGAAAGGTTGAGATTGTTTGACATCCGCTTGACACTTGGATGTGGATCAGTGAGTCAATTTATTTCATTTATACGAGGCCCACTTGCTTTGTGCTCGTTTAAAAAGCTGATTAATTTGTTTTACTGCGTTTAAAGCCAAGTGTTTTACTTTTCTTTGCATATCATGTTACACCTAAATAAGCAAATACCCATACACTGGGAAATACGAGAATGTGCCTTTATTGCTTTCACAGGGCAAAGTAGACATGGTAAAGCTTCTCTTAGAGCCTGTTCTCCATTTACAGAGCGGAACGGAAAGTTAAATGCAGCACTCCTCGAAGCTGTGCTATTAGGTCAAGCAAAGTTAGTTCAAACCCTACTCAGCCAAGGTGCAGATGCTAATCACTCCGACGAAACAAACTCAGCAGTCATTTTTTGATCCATCGGTTCCAACAATGTGAATATTTTGGACCTTCTTATAGCCCATGGAGCAAATATTAAGCGGGTAGATGGACAAGATTAGACGCCACTCATGGAAGCTGTAAGGACTGGTAAAAGAGAAATGGTTGCTCCTTTGTTGTGCTTTGATTTGTGCATCCGTTCACGTGTACGGTTAAGTACCTCAGATTCTTTTAAATACTACTTACAAAGGCAGAGAATTTAATTGAGCCATGCCAAAATGAATGATTTTAATGAATTAGATTAAATGTGCCCTGATTTAACAGATTATAACAAAAAAGGCATTGTTCATTTGTAGCATTTGATTAAGAAGGACGTACGAAAATTTGCAGGGTCTAATGCTAAAGTAGTAAGAAAATTGAGTAGAGAGACGGCGTTGTCGCTCGCTAGGAGTCAAAACACAAGGAGATTTGCAGGATGATTTTAAAGGCCAAAGTGTAGAGAATGCCTTAAAATCCCGACAATTTGGCATTGATTATGCCAATTTTATCACAAGTGTCAGCGAAATCTTAGTGTTGTTTATTATTGCAAACAAACTTCATGCATGACCTACATGGAGTGCTTTTACAGTATAATTTCAGAATTTGCCTTTTTCCTGTTAGAAGAATGGCGACAATAATAGAAATTACTAGAGTAATTGCCACCACTTATTTTGCAGGCAAGATTTAGTTGACAGAATTCACTAAACTTAACATACTAGTGTACCACGTAAGGAGCTCGTGAAGCCCAAAAATAATATAACACTCATGCACAATATGCTATTGCTGTCGTACGGAGAGAACTAAGGGACTGTTAGTACAGCCTAGGACATGGCTGACCAGGGAAGGTAGAATGACGAAATTCCAGGTGACAGGTTATTAGAAAGTGTGATCAAAACAGGCAACTAAGGCATCCCTTTAGCTATCATAAAATTCAGTTTAAAGTTAGGATAGGTGAAGTCAAAAGTGGCTAACGCATTACCGAATGTAGGTTTGTCCAAAGATCTTCCTTTTGGACCAGAATCATAGTCTAATTTAATTAACAAATGAAGCTTGATGGCGCCTGGCTGCATTTTAGGGAATTTGTATAGGAAGTGATATAATAGATAAATTTATATAAACTGCTGCTGATCGGTAATTTCTGAGACAGTGTACTACCGATATATTTTACTGGCTGCAATGAGATATTGAAAACGTGGCTCCCAAAGGGCCATATGTAGTCTTGGCATTCAGTCTGAATATCTCTGCAGCTATAACTTTTGCACAAACTAGTGAATTTTTCAAGCTTAAGAAATGTTCCCTAAAAGGCTTTCCACTTATCTTGTGAGAGATTTGCTCAAACATATAGTAGTTACTTCTCTAATGGCTGTCGTTGTTGTCTTCAGTTGTGGGCAAGCCTATGGCTGCCAACACAACGTCAGTGGCATCAGTGTCAATTAACGTTCTCGACGGTGGATGTGGATAGCAAAAATGATTGCAAGAAAGGTGCATTTATGTTTCTCTCAGTATATTTTTATTAAAATTTGACTTTCACTCGATTTTTTTCGTGTTTGTAGTCAAGACCCCGAAAGAGAGGTGTAAAAATGCAATCTTAACATCCACTTTGTCCTCATATTCAGTTTTGGCCCTAAACACCGAGTAAACTAAAAAATAGGTTTCAGTTCGATTAACGCATGTGCATATGATCAAGCCAAATTTATCTGGAGATGTGATAACCTTACCGCTGCTTTCTTTAATTCATCTGCTTAGTGAATTTTGTAAAGTTGAATTGTCCATGAGGAGGTAGGCTGCAAATTCCAATTACCTAAATAAATCATATGGGATATTTACCAGTGGAAGTAACTGTAATATATCCAGAGGTATCAATGAATGTGTAGAAATAAATTATTAGTGGGTCATCTTCCGAGTGGAATAAATACGCAATAGATGGCATTTGGCAGGCAAACATGATGAAGCTCTGTTACCCATCACTGCACATGCCATAACGTTAGTAGTAAATAGTCAATATTTCAAAGTTTAATTTGAATTGGACACTCTAGACGTGTTTGCTAAGCATCTTGTCCTTTGCTGAATCAAAGGAGGAAAGACAGCAATTAGACCGCTTCCGCCACTCCTTCGCTTGTGTTACGCGGTTTTTTGACTCAATCAACTAAGTTGGGATGCTAATAGCTTGCCTAAACACAAAGCCGACCAACTTGAGCTATCTGCATTTCCAATTAATTGGGGAAGCTCCAGCCATCGCAAAACAATAGGCTTTTAAAGTGAAGAAATCACTCTCAAAAAATTGGACCCTGGAAAAACTTACTGGGTAGTTTTTGAAACACAGAGAGGTGCATACAGCATTTCTACTTCCGACAGATACCTTACTACACTGCAACTCAAAATTAAGCAACATTACTCACTATCTCTTATTCCAGTAGAATGGCCATGTTTGTTTTAACACCTTGAGAACAAACGTAGTAAAGTCATTTTGTTCACTACAATAGCTGCATTTCATGGACTGCATGAGGCAAAGACTGAAACATGTTTGCTGAGCATCACCAGATTATGAGAAGAGTGCTTGGCACTGCTCCTGTTTAGATGAATTTCCCCAAGTCTCGACTACCATGTTATGCGTTAAGCTGATTTCTACCTAAAATTTTCATGCGACATGGTTACTTCTACCAGACAGTGGATCGGATGAATTTGGTGCAGTTAGATTCCAATGCACTGAATATATTTAACACGACTTGTAGAGCTGCTAATCCGTGAGAACATTCGACCTCCTGATGGCCAAGCAGTGGCTATGATGAGGGAAGGCAGTGGAAGACATTGACATCAAAACAGATGCATGTCAACTCACTTTGTAGGTGTGACCTCTTCGCAGGTTAATTTTGTGAAGCTGAGCTTCAAGATTAACTTAGTGACTATTTTATATTTGCTAACATGGCGGTATTTTGAATCAATATTCTACCTAAATAAGCAAAAATCACTTAAAAGTTGGGAGGGCTTATTGGGAAGAGGCATTTTGTGTGTTGACAGAGCGCAGTTTCCTCATGTGGGC